ATTAAAAGTCTATTAGATGAAATTTAAGCTGACAAACATATGATGTACTGAAGTCTAACCGTACCTCATGTACAGTCACAAGTAAACGTCATTCCGATGAAAGGTCAGCTATTTAAAAAGTGAATTGTTTGAACAAAGTTTTTAGTGTCCCCATTATTGGAACCTATAAATTTTAAAGTGCGTACATGTACTTGCTGTAATGAACAATGAGTTTGTATAATCATGTAGTTTTTCATGTAATGGTTTTTATACACACCACACAAAAGGCATTGTCCGATTGTAAGCCCTGTGGTAATATTCAATAAAAAGGCTTTATCCTCTAATTAATTTCAAAAGCGGATCAGAAACATGATCTCTAACAAAAATCATCCTGATCATTTAATCGCTAACAAAACCTAGAGCACACACAGCAATGCTCAATACAAGAAATGAAGTATCGATAGAAATGGCCCTTTTCAGGGTAATCTGTTTACATGTGTACAAGAATATTATTCAATAACACATTGAAAGATCACAGACAGTCAGTATGACCATTTAAACACAATTAACATTCATTGTAATTCATGTTGTAGATCAATATTTCTTCTAAACAACTACCGTAAAAACCCATGTAAATTGCGTACCTGTGTAATTTGCGCAGGTACTTTTTGAGGCTGAAAATCGTGAAAAAAGCTTCTACTCGAATATTTTGCGCACCCAAAAAATCTGGGGAAAAAAACGATGTTCATGCTCCAAAAATCGATCTCTGAATATTTTTTTAAAAAATGTATTTCTATGATTTTTTTTTCATTGATGTAAAATGATATTTAAAACCAAGAAGAAACTACGTAAAATGTGTATTTTGTTGCTTGGTTTCTTTGAATTATCTGATCACACATGACACACACGTGTGCGCATATATCGGCATACATCAATTCATTTTAGCAATATTTTACATAAAACATTTACTTGCTTACAAAAACATATCAATTAATAAGTAATTCGATGTTTAGTATCCGCTGATGCATATCTCCTGGTGAAAGACATAATAAGATACTTTAATTGATCATAATTACGATCAATGAGAAGGGCTCATCATGGCGGCTTGGGTTACGACACTTGAAACCAGGTCATGTCACAGTTCAGTTTGGCCACGGAATCATATTATCTAAGTCCGTGGTTTGGCGATATTTTTTACAAATTACAATGCAGTAATTAGCTAACACTATCTCTGTGATTACCCGTTAACAATAGCTCTACTAATTGAAATGATTTGCAGTCGCGATCGACGAACCGTGTTGTTGTTTTTTTCACTCACCAACACGTGGCGTGAATTACGAAGCCCTACTGCATTGTCATAACTACAGACTGATTTGACTGAAAAGGGATTATAAAAAATATGTTTATACTAGAAGCGTGGACAATCAATACATCCTCTTCAAATCTACTCCAAGGAAAAAAAATAGTTAACGCAGACTATTTTTACGATGCTTCATTTGATAAATATTGAAATAATTCACGAGGTTATTATCAATCACGTGTTTACATCTACATTTTCGTTATAGTATGGGGAAACGCATCGAGATGTCGAAACGTAATGTCGTAAGTTGATCGGCGATTCTCTGGCATAGGAATTTGGCTAAACTTTTTTGTTAACGGTTACCTATTTATTAATACTTTTCACATAAACTCACATAACAACACATTATGTATCTTATATTAATGTTTGACATAAATAAATTTGTTGATCGTCATTTGTCTTAGAGTTCCGTGTACCAAGGGACATAATCCAAGATGGCGATCTCTCAGAATCGTCGATCTTTTCCTGAAAAAAACTTGAAATTTTCTATACCTGTGTATTTTACGCACCCCCCACTTTGGGTATTAAATTTCTGGAAAAAAAGTGCGCAAATTACATGGGTTTTTACGGTATACATTTTTGTATTTAGAAAAAAAACTCAATATCAGGAGGCATGGTAGTCTAGTGATAGGGCGCCGGGCTCATGAACAAAGGGTTGAGAGTTGGACTCACGTCACGGCACTGTGTTGTATCTTTGAGCAAGATACTAAACTTCGCTTGTTCCAGTCTACTCAGCTGTAAATGAGTATGTGGTTGGGTAGTGCTAGAATTGTAGAATGTTAGCTGTGAGCGTCGAAATGGCAGCTCTGGATGTATGCTCCCCAGGGAGTTGAGAAAGATATTGGCTGGTTGCAAAGGCCCTATAACCACGGATAATAATTTATGAACCGCTTTGAGACGACCTACGAACTAGGTTGTGATAAAGCAGTATATAAGAACCTCAGATAATAACAATAATTATTATTATCTCACAGCAAATGTTTCTAAAAGGAAATGGAGAACAGCATGATTCAAGATTTACATAATCATGTCAAGATTCTGTCATTTTAAATACTTAATTGAAATTACAGAATCTATTTTTTGTCATAAAAGGAAAAAAACTTCAAATGTATACATTTTTGCCAGTACCTAAACATAGTTTATCATAAATACAATTTATTTTACAAAGTTGAATTTATACATCTTAAATATAGCCATCAAAAAAATAAGTTTGCAGTCCAATTAGGCGAGAAACATGTCTTCTGGCTTCAAATAAGGTAAAGGGTATCGGCACAAATGATCATTACCAACATTTTCCACCGATAAGTAGTGAATTAACATGTCAATCAAAAAGCTGTAGTTGACCTTTGACATTTGACTACTTCAGGTTTTACTAAATATCGCTATTTTCCTATATTGATACAAAAACTTAAAATTACTATTTTTCTGAAAGATTATAAATCCATCTGGAAGTCATTAATCAGGTAGTATACATATAAGGAATATAAGCCTTAAATGAACCTCTAAACGCAGTCAGTTGACATCTCCTCGAGGTCTCTACCACACAGGACACCTAGGTGTAGGTTTGTGATATTAATGTTGACTTATCAGCATGAGGTCCTTATTTATGTGAAAGTCAACCAATACCTAATTTGTACATAAGAGGAAACGTCCTAGTCCGTGTTTGGTCTTCTGTAAGATAAGTACACACTGTTGGTATTGGGTCAATACAAGGCCAATACACTGACCACCTCAAGTTTGGTCCTACAACTTGTTCGCTGTCCTTCATGAATTAGTTAGACATGTTTACCCAACATTTTTATACTCACTTACCGTGTTGTTTTTCTACTATATGTAATTGATATATGTATATATCTCTTCAATTAACCCGCCCAATGTTACACTTCGTAGACTATTTAATACTGCTAACACATTTATCCTGTACTCCAACTATGAATTCCTTTTGCTGAAAGAAGTCTGCTCACAGAAATGTTTTCTTCTTTATACTGTGACTTACATAAGTAACTTATGATGAAACAAATTTGAGACGAAAGTTTTACCTGTTAATTGTAAAACCAAGTGTTAAACAAAACACGGTAATATGTCATAGCTTCTTAGCTGTATTTAAATTATATTTGTGGTACAGCTTTACGTTTTGATTGAACTCAATGTTTCTTGTCCATTAATGATAATATACAAAACTATTTCCCCAAGAAAAATATTTGCTTGTCTAATGTAAAAAGACTAAAATTCAGTCCTAAGTGCCTCTTCGATCCTTCAATTTGAAAAGGCCAAAGTAATACATATACATACGTGTGCTCACAGAGGTTGGTTTTTAATTTCCTTCGATGGAGTTGTATACATGTAAATGCATGCCAATGAGTTTACTGTCTGTGATTTTGTTGAGAGTAACGCTATGATGATGTCATACGGCCTTTGATCCACTCACTGCTGAGCACTTCATAGGAAGCAAAACTTCACATGAACCTTTTAAAACAATTCAAGCTTCCTAGTGTGTCCTAGCTACATATGACTTGAACACAACATAATCACGATTATGTTCCATTGTCGTTAGCATTGTAAACACCATACTTAAATCATAAAAAACATCACAATACAATTTTAATAACGTCTGTTTTCTCATTTAGATACTTGTATCATTCCGGTGCACTTCCATATGTGCTTGTGTTTTGCACCTGGTGCACCCTTGGTTTATAGTCTCCAGCCAAGTTAGGTCTTCACTACGTTTTAAAAGTGTTTACTTTCAAGCAATCAAATATCCTCTACTATGTCAAGCAAAATAACATTAGCAAAGTAGTAGCATTGGTTTCAAATGCATTTATTGTTATAATGAGATATTTTGAGAACAAAATTTAAACTGAGAGGTAAACACACATTTGTTTATAGAGCAGCTTTCTCTGTTTACTTAGGAGTAAAGTAATGATTATTGGCATGTCAATACCATATACTACGTCATTACAGATACACTGACCGATAGTTAGTAGATTGATCGAGTTGAATGTACGATAACCTTCAAAACATTTAACCCTGATATACAGGCTAGATCAATAAAAACACTTCGTCACTTTCTGACACAACAGGAACATTGGATGTTTTTACAAAACTTGAAAACATCAACAACAACTTTACTTGGTCAATTAATGATGTTTTCTCGTCTTCTGTGGTATTTTACTTTCTAAATCATATAAATTCATGTATTTAAGAAATTGTTGCAAATACTTTTGGAAAAACTTTTCCACAGATTACATGAAATTACTTAATTGACACTTAAAATAAAAACATGACCCTCTAAACTTTGTGCTTCTAAAAATATAAACTCATTCAAAAGAAATGAATGTTTTCCATTAGCATGCCTTAAATGAAAAACAAGATGAGAAAGAGCAAAAACATATCACTAAACGTAATCCTTTTTGCTGTTTTGTTAAAATTAAATAATACATATATAAATCAAATATCACCAGTAGAATATTTCATATCACCACCTTCTATTTTTGAGTAAAGCAGGCCATCAATTTCAGTTCTTGCAAATCACAGTATTTGATGGCGGGGTAAAAAAAAACAAGTTAAACTTTGCAGTAATTTCAATGATAAACGCCAAATAAATTCCCAACGATTTACACATTAAAGGACTGTAAACATTCCAAACGAGTAATATACTTACCAAACTTTGTTGTCTCGTAGATAAAGGAAGTTGTGAGGTGCCGTGCCTCCGGACTGTAATTGTTGCCGATAGAGTCACTCACTTTCCGGAAGTGTTTCTTCTCCTTTATCGGAGCTGCTTGTGTGTAAGACCCTCGCTCTAATATTTTAGGCTTTTCACTATATGCAGGCTGAAAAAAATGAAAAATTTAATATGATTCATGTAGTTTATCATATTTTTTTTTATTGTTTTGCTTATTATATTTTCATTTTAAGTAGAAATATCTAGCCCTCCACCACTTGTTAGCGGGATTGAGGCCTACATGGGGCAGTCACCAGGTACTGGCCGTATATTGGTGGTTTTTCTCTGAATATTCCAGCTTTACTCCACCACCAAAACCTGGCACGTCCTTAAATGACCTAAGCTGTTAATAGGACGTAAAACGCAAACAAACCAAACCAACTATATCCAGGTGGCACCAACAGTGACAAGACATTTTGTACCTTATAACAGTGCATATATTTGGCACAGGTTATATTTTGCAGTATCTTTGGCCTAAACAAATATGGACATAAAAACGTTATGAATGAACCATCATTTAGATGCATGTTAGTAGCATATAATGATTAACTATGTTGCACAAAATTTAAACCCCAAAATATGTTCAAGTGAAAAAACTGGGAAAATCTGACCCAGTATGATATAGTTATTCTAAGATGTGCATGTATTAACTAACAGCCAAATTGGAATAAAGTTATAGAGATTAATTGCCTCTATAAACCACTGAAATCATCTTAGACACATAGTAAACAGCAATACTTATTGAAGTCGAAGAGACAAATTTGTCAAATGTTTAAAATAGTGAAGTCTGATGTATTCAATGCGGGTTTCAAATTGATGACAACAATTGTACTGTAGGTAAACAGACAGCCTCAACAACACAATACAACCAGATAAGGCCTACATATACACACTTCAATAAGGGCACCTGTCATAATTTAAGTGAATTTAATTTCTACCTTACTTATGATATATATCAAGTACATGAGCAGGTGGACACTTTGTCATAGTGGACACCTCAGCCATTTAACCCCACAGTGATCATATTAAAAAGGACACTGCCAAATGTTTGATAGGATCACCTTTTGATCCACAGGGGGCACTCTAGTAGATAACATTATACAGGACATCCACCATGGCAAGCTGGTAAGACAAATAATTAAATAAAACAAGGACACCAAATCTGAATTGAATATGGCCGTTTATTACAAGAAACGACGGTTGTTATGACGTTCACATTTTGTCATATAAATAGACCCAAAAAGTCTTAGATGGGGGTCCTATTCCGCCATACACAATATAATTGATGCAATATTAATGCTAGTTGTAATACATAATTTTTACACACAAATACATGATATAACATCGATACATTTCTTAACAATCGCATAAGAAAATGTTGTACACCAATACACATGCACATTCAGAAAATTCTAACAAGAAAGGAGGAAAGTAGGGGATGGTGGTGGGTAAAGTTTATCTTGTATATACTAAAATCTGTGATCAGATAAAACAATACAAAACTTTACAAGTTGAAATAAAATTGACCTTGACCGTACGAACCTTGTTCCGCCATTTTCTTTTATCAGCTTCTGAATAGGAGCTGCTGCGTCATTTGTATTTATAGTGATCTAATTATAGCGACATATCAATGCGCGCATGTAACTTGTCGGACCGCATCACTCATACCCCAACATACCTCCTTCCGCAAATAAAAATAGTTATGTAAAAGCATGTAAGTCTGACTGCATAAATTACATTAAAACAAGTTTTAATTTGTATTTATATAAACACAATCTATTTCGAGTAATATGAAGTATGTATACATTTACAATCCCAAATAACAAGCATACTGAAGTACTGCACCTCTAGGCCTGTCCCCTACACCTCTAGACCTGTCCCCTACACCTCTAGACCTGTCCCCTACACCTCTAGACCTGTTCCCTACACCTCCAGACCTGTCCCCTACACCTCTCTGTCCCCTATACCTCTAGACCTGTCCCCTATACCTCTCTGTCCCCTATACCTCTCTGTCCCCTATGTCCCCTACACCTCTCTGTCCCCTACACCTCTAGACCTGTCCCCTACACCTCTCTGTCCCCTACACCTCTAGATCTGTCCCCATCACCTCTAGACCTGTCCCCTACACCTCTAGACCTGTTCCCTACACCTCCAGAACTGTCCCTTACACCTCTAGACCTGTCACAACATTTTGTCAAATTATATAACATCCATCTATAAAGTATTAATCATTACCTGGACAAAAATTATAACTATTGAACTTTTGACTTTATCATGACCTTGACCCTGGTCATGACAACACGACAGCTGTAGGAGGTGCACTGTCCAGTCACGATACATGTACACCCAACAATGAAGTTTGGTTAAGTGATATTCAAACATTCTGATGTTCAGATTCATGAAATTTCAGATGTTTTGGTACAGAAATGCATAACATTTATTTGAACTTTAACCTTTGCTGTAACCTTGACCTTAGTGTTAGAATGATATGTACACCATGCAAAATATATTACCTGGACATTAACATTACAATGATATAAGCTGTAACCTTGACCTTGATGTAGGAATGGGTGTTCACAGTAATTATTCCCTGGATATAAACATCAAAGTTATAATTATTTGTGCTTGGATCCCTTGCTGTCACCTTGGCCTTGGGGGTATTCCGTCTTTGCGTATTGAGTTATCGTCTCTTGTGAGCAGGTATTGATTGTTACGTCATTGGTTTGTGCGAGAAAATTACGTCGTTTTCTCAAAAATTGATGACGTTACTATCACAAACCAATGACGTAACAATCAATACCTGTTCACAAGAGCAGACACAAAGACGGAATAGACAAGAAAGTTGTATATTCATCTAAGAAGCTTTGTAAAATGACGCTAAAACATTAAGAAAGAAGTTATAGACATATGGATTAGTATTTTAATGATTTTAGATTTTTAGCGTTTGCTTGTAACCCTGATCTTAGATATCAGTATTATGGACCCAAGACTTATATGTGATGTACGTACACAGTGTAAATATAAGTCATGATACATATATGGTAATCCCGAGCACTACAATGATATGACCACTGACAGCTTGATGTGACCTTGACCTTATGGAGTATGGACTCAGGACTGGTATGTGACACACTCTTTAGCTGTTGTTGAAGACATCAATTTATTATCTTTTGTTCAAATATTCATCTGTTCAGAAATTATGACTCAAACAAAACTGACATCCTTGCATGTGACCTTGACCTTTGAATGTGGACCCCAGAGTTTTGCAGTCATGGTCCACCTACCAATGATTTTTGTTAAAAAAACAATCTGCCATACATTAATTATGGCATTGACAAGAAGTTTGAGATTAATGAACAGACGGACAGACAGGGTGAAAACCTACTGTACTCCTAGTTCTACCAGTACATGTAACTAAGGTATTGGCCCTTTATTTTTGTTTATCATCACAGAGAGTTGTTCAGTCATAACATGTACATCTTAGTCTGAAATAAGATCTAGCGTAAACTTATTCAATATTGTCCCACTTCAGACACACCAAAATGCTCATGGACAGAAGTGATAATATTCAACTTGACTAATTAGATGAAAATTAAGACATTACGATCCTTTAAACATACAGGCTTAAAACCTTTAAACACAGATTGTTGATCTGATCATTCATCAATAATTGCCACAACCACATTTTACATTAGAAATTTAAAAGGCATCAAAGTTTCAAAACACTTATAGCCAGCTTTACTAGTTTGTGGTTTGGTAAGTTTGTGATATATCGTCACAATATGTATATATATATTTAAATATACATATTCACTATATCTATGGTTACACAACAAGTTATGATGTATACAAATCTATAAATAGAAAAGTTCCAACTCAAATCTTAATAAATTAAGTTACTTTTAGCCAGAAACCTTTTGAAACACAACTGAATACTTTCATTATAAATTTCAGATGACAGTTTGAGTAGGAATTGAATTTTAACAAAGGGCACTTCAATTCCATTCATACATATATACACCCCCAAGTGTAATATATCGCACACAAGCCTATATCGATACCTATCTACCTCTATACAAGCGTCACTTTTTTGAACGTCAGTTCTATAATTATCTCTAAGTGGGTACGGAACAATAGGACTACATGCTCGGAGGGGCAACCAAATTAGAAAGCCTGCGAAACATAATGACCAGATCTTTTATTGAAATGAAATTAGGCAACAAGCCTTAGTAAAAACTTGGCTCTCTTCAAATATTTAAGGTTGTAGACCCCATATGGTTTTTGGCATATTACTTTTCCACCTAGCCTGCTCTCTTGATATTATATATCACATACACTTATAAATAACGGTTCCTGTTTCTTTATGTACCTTTGAATAGACCATATGACTTAATCATCAATAGAAAATAAATATCTGGAAGCTTGTAGAAATGTTTTCAGTGACTCTATCATGGTGACAATGATTTCTGGGATCAAACATAGAAAATACAGGGTTTCATGTTTTTGTCAGAATTTATTAGGATATGATCATTTAGATACATGCGTGTCCAACATTTAATTACAAAAATGATTCACACAGAACAGAAATCTACGTTTTGCTCAAGATTACATCAGAAATATCCCAGCATGAAGAAACAAGAGGCCAAAGGGGCCTTAACACTCACATGAGTTCAAATTAAAAATGTGTCAGCCAATCAAAGGCCTTGGTGGTCATAATGGAGTTTTGGATCAGCACACAAAAGTAGCCTGGCAACACTTGTTAGGGACCTATCACACAAAAGTAGCCTGGCAACACTTGTTAGGGACCTATCACACAAAAGTAGCCTGGCAACACTTGTTAGGGACCTATCACTAAAAGAACATTTGTTTCAAATATGGAGTCAAGCGGTGCTGCCATTCTTGAGAAGAAGTTGAAAAAGTCTCAGCCAATCAAACGTTAGGGTGGATATACTAGATTTTTGGATCAGCACAAGGACTAAGAACACTTGTTGGGGACACCTCACAAGAAATATTTGTACAAAGTTTAGAGTCAATCAGTACAGCTATTCTTGGGAAGAAAATCCAAGCCAATTACAGATAAGAGCAGCCATCTTGACTTTATTGATCGAC